CCCCTCCCCCCCCCCCCCGACTGCTTCCTGGGAAGACAGTCGGCAAATAAACCCTAAAAACCCATTAGGGATTTTGTAAGAGAGTGTGATCTTGTCTGGTAGTGAACTGCAGAGGTCTGGGAATGGCGGATTCCGACAAGGACTCGGGAGGAGGGAGCAACAACGGGAACCGACAGTCGCCGAGGGAGCAAGACAGGTTCCTGCCGATCGCGAACGTGAGCAGGATCATGAAGAAGGCGTTGCCGGCGAACGCGAAGATATCAAAGGAGGCGAAGGAGACGATGCAGGAGTGCGTGTCGGAGTTCATAAGCTTCGTGACGGGAGAGGCGTCGGACAAGTGTCAGAAGGAGAAGAGGAAGACCATAAACGGAGACGATCTGCTGTGGGCCATGACCACGCTTGGCTTCGAGGATTATGTCGACCCTTTGAAAGTTTATTTGCAGAGGTTCAGGGAGATGGAAGGTGAGAGGACTGGCCTTTCCCGGCCCTACTCTGCCGCCGGCGACGACGCTCCCCTCGCCGATACTCCCAATTCTGGCGTGGGGTTCTATGATGGTGGTGGCAATATGCATCATCATCGTCATCATCATCATCATCATCATCAACCCCATAACATGTACCGCGGCGAAGGCGGACCAAGCAATTAATTACGACGGTTTCCCATCTCTATTGTATATAATTAATATAAAAAATATACACATACACATGTTTTTTTTTTTACCGATCCCCTATGCAATTCCCCTTTTCACTTTTTTTTGTGCAGAAAATAATCGGTGAATTTGGAATATAGATCTCTCTCGAGATTTGTTTAATATCGTGTGATTTGTTCGTAAAGCAACCACAGTAGGATTTACAATTCCATCATGATGAATTCACGTTAATTCATATGAAATACCCTTTTGCATAGATTGATCTTAAACCAATTTCGTGAGAAGAAATTTACAAAAAAAAAAAAATCTCCACGTACTGGTAGATTATTGAGGAGGATGGAGGTGGTGAGGGTTCAGGTACAAGAGGCTGGGTTGATCAGGAACAGAGACTGGAACAGGGGTGAACCCTGTGTAGTCTTTGTTCGTCTTCGCATGGCAGATTTGGACGATATACCTCCATAGCTCGTGACTTTGAACCAATGGCTGGTTCACGTATTCGTCCCATGGCATCCACTGCACCCAAATCCGAAACACGGTGATGACCATGATCATGTCATGTGGAATGTTCGATGCTTATATGACACTGGACTAACTCACCTCTGCTGCTTCTATCTCCGATTCCTGCGCTTGGATTTCTGAAGTTAGAGGCTTTAACATACACAAAAAGAACAAATCTGACTTCCCGAAGAATATCTTGTGGCTTTGTCTGCACTCAGACAAAACAGGAAAAAAAGGCTTGAAAACATGTTTTCTTGTCACGTAAACGGATTGAACTCAATTCAAAATCGTTTGGTGTGTTGGGTTCGTACCTGAAGGCCAGTACTTCGACGAATTCTGTATCTATCTGAAAAGACAAATATCCAAAGGTGGACCTTAGTTGTCGATCATGATTTATTAACTAAAGCATCATTTTTGGTTTCCGGAAACGGAACTTAAGGAGGGAGAAGAAGCTTACTCCGGTCTCTTCTTTAACTTCTCTGACGGCGGCCACTGATATGTCTTCACCCTGAAACAGAAAAGCCGCATCATGTTCGATTGATTCAGAAGCATATGTGCAAGCGCGTGTGTATACACATAATGTGTATGTAAAGGTTTTGAGTAAGCATGAACCTCGTTCACAACTCCGGTGGGGAACTTCCAGAAGCCCTGGCCGCAGAATCTGCCGGTCTTCTCTTGGACAACGAGTACCTCTCTGTTATTGTTCATGACAAAGGCACCAATGCCGACACGGTGAGATGCATTGGCCGGAAGGGCGTTCTCTCCTTTCGCGATCCAACACACAAGCATCAAGTAATCTGCTTCTGCGTGGTGCATCCAGAATCCCTCCTTCACATGCCGACGATTTCGTCACAAAATTCAACATTTTTTTCATTCCAACTGGATATTACCATGTCATCAACGGATTAATACAAGATGGATCACCTTAATCGCTATCTCAGCGAGACCGATAAGCTGGGTTGGCAATTTAATCCATACGCCCTTTTTACCCTGTCACACGGAATTGATATTGTATATGACATACATCATATACCTATACACGCATCTCAGCTTCAGCTCCAGATTCAGATTTTACCTACCTGAAGCTTCCAGTGGAAGAGAGAGGATCGGAGAAGAGAAGAGAAGAGAGGAGGATCCATGGGATGATTCATCTCCGCCACTACTCCGCCGTATCTGTCTTCCACTGCCGGCAGCACCTCTCCGGCGATCCCGTTTCTTGACGACGAAGCCCCCTCCCTCATCATCCTTGGTGATAGTTTTTATTTTTTATTTTTTATGTAAGACTAGTTAATTATATGACTTAGAACATCCGTGGGGGGACTCTTCTTTCTTGCTCAGCCACACGCCAAGCTGAATCTCACAGACATCGCTCTCCGGTTTGCTTTTCCTATGGGTTAAAAACTTAAAGCACGTCAGCGCCTGAGACAAAACAGAAATTATCCTGCCTGACCAGGGGTATATCCGTCAATGTATTTTGTGACCAAAATTTACCCTTTTTTTTTTAACTCGTTTTACTTCACCCGTCTCTCTCTCTCCGACCACTGTTTCACGCCGCCATTCCCTTTTTTTTTACCGTCGCCATGGAACTTCTTGCCGGCTTGGTGTCGCCGACGATGTCGACAATTGGACGCTGGAAAAGGTACAGCCGCAGATCACCCGTTCGAAGAGAAACATGAGCACAAAAAACATAGATATTCTGCATGTTCCACGTAATAGGGAAATGTTTTTCTATTATTAATAATTGGAAGAATATATCATAATATATAACAAAATACAATAGAATATTCTATACATAATATCTAGGATAAATCATAATCATATCAATGATAATATATATATTAATAATAATATATTCCTATATGCCCTTCAAGATAAATCATCTATGATGAATTCAATCTTGTTAAATAAAAACTGAAAACTGAAATTGTGATCGTATTAAACGAATCATCTTCCATGTAGTGGTGTAGTTCAGACTTGAGTCAGTATTGCTTGATAACGTTTGAAGAGCTTGAAAGTTGTATTCTGAGAGTTGTATTCTCAGAGGCTGATATGACACGAATGGCACGAAAGTGCGACGCGTATGCGTGAATTGGGTTGCACGACAATGAAGTCGGCAACATAAAAAACTGCGGTATATATAGCAGCTAGGCCGGAGAAAAAAAATTATGCGCAAAAGCGCGATGCATAATGCGTGATAGTATAGCAGCGGAACAAGATAGAAGAAAAAATAAGTGATGCAAATATGTAGATCGGCAATCGGAGTTTTCCAATCGAAAGGGCTAAAAACCAAGTTTAAAGATCTCACAACAACTAGGGTTGACGTCGATAAACGAACGTCGTCGAGAAAAAAAAGTAGCACATCGGCTAGGGTTGACAGTGATGAATAATGCCGTCGGAAAAAAAAACTAGAAGAAAAAAAAAGAACAAAATAAATGCAAGACAATACTCAAGATGATGATACTATTGGAGTTAATATATCTCGTCATCTTAATCGTCATTTTCGAATTCAACGAACATTGTTGATAATAAAAAAAATTAGAACAAAAACCGAAACTCTGATAGTATAATAAGAAAATCTTTTTCTATTATTGATAATTGGAAGAATACATCATAATATATAGCAAAATACAATAGAATATTCTAGATATAATATTAGGGTAAATCATAATCATCAATGATAATATTCTAATAATAATATATTACTATACCACGTATCCACGAGGGTGCAAAAGCAATCAAAATAACAAGACTATATCATCAACTAGAGACGGGGAAACCAATAGCCTTTCGCAAGCGGAAAAAGCGATAACGGATGACCTGAAACTGTTGAAAGACAGAGGGTTACCTGTTGAACGAGGCTGCGTGTGAATCTCGGAGGTCGTACATGAGGTTGCAAACTCGAGATCCATGACGACGTTTTGGCCGGTCACCTTGCCTTGTGTCAACCGCTGGATCTTTCGATCCTCTTTCCTCTCCTCCGATCTCTTCTTCAATCTTTCAGTGAAAGATTCTTCCTCGACTCTATCAGCTTCAACGTCTACTCCTCCGTAGCATTCGATGGGGTTTACCAAGGGGTGTTATAGTCATTTCCCACAGCCGCCATTGTCGAGAGTTTGGAGGCGAGAACAAAAACGGATACGAAAGAGGAGGGCGTGCTCACTGGTCTCAGTAAGGCTTTAATCGGCCCAAAATATGTAAGGCGGCCCATTTTTGGTGAGAGTAAAACGGTGTCGTGGCACTGAGAGGGCCTTCTTGATCTCTCGAGGCCCAACTGCAACTATCCTTAAAAATCGGATGACCTTCCGAATCCATTTCCTTTCTTTTTATTAAAAAATGATCAGATCAAACCTAATCGATTTTGAATCGAATAATATATGATTATATTCGAACTAAATCCAATATAAAAATAAATGATTATGATTTTCTAATATCGCAAAAAATGGTAAACCTGATATAAAAAATTGAACGAAAAATCCTTTTAAATAAATATTTTTTTTATTAATATATGAAATAAATTAAACATCAAAATTAAATGAATATAGTTTTTTCAAACCAAAATATAACGAAATCAAGGTATAACCATCCTAATTTTCCACACCTAGTTTTTCTTGCTATTGAGCTAAATTGAAATTGAAGAGAAAAAAAATAGCATAGTATTTAAACAAATTATAACATATTACATCAAAGAATGAAAAAATCGCATATAAATATCTAAACTTCTACAAAAATAAAAAAAATAAAAGATAAATACTTGAAGTATAAAATTTTTCTATAAATATTTGAACTTTTCTAAAATCCTATATAAATAGCTAAACTTTTGAAAATCTCTCAATTAAATACAAAATTCGTTAATAATATCACATATATTTATTTAAAAAATATCAAAGATTTGTATTTATTTAGATTTTTTTTAAATTTAGATATTTGTATAGAATTTTTAAAAGTTAAGATATTTATATCTAAACTTAGATATTTATATAGGATTTTTAAAAAAATTTATGTATTTATATGTTATTTTTTCTAAAATTTTTTTACGTCTTTTTATAAAAAAACGCGTTTTTTGGGTGATTCTAACACTTAATCCTAATAAATTTATCTGATCAAATCGATTTTTTTGGTGATACAACTACAATGAGGCGCAAAAGGGAAATTATAGACAAGAAAAGGGGTATAATTGTAAAAGACGTGAAAAGGAGAGAGCGATGAGAGGCCACACAAAGGCGGAAGTCAGCACTTGGGGGTATCCTCGCGAGAGTTTGAAATGTCGCTTCTTTGCTCGAAAACGAAAACCCTACCAGAAATACTGACGCAGAGCTGAGAAGCGAAACGACCTCCTCCGTTCCCTACAAGACCCGAAAAAGAAGAAGTGCCCTCTCCTCTTCTCTCCCCCCCCCCCTCTCTCTCCTTCTCCCTTTCGTCTTCGTTCATGGTGGTTCTGCTCTGAACAAAGTGCGGTGACGGGGAAACGACTTCGTTTTAAGATTCCTGGGTCTCACTCGTGATGGGCCAAAAGCCGGAAGAACAGTTGAAGGAGGTTGGATCCAAGCTCGACCCACCTCCTTCCTCCAAGGATGCTCTTCTCAAGCTCTTGAAGGTGCTTCTTCTTCCCTAATCCCCTTTCAATTCTTCTGTAAACGTCCTCTGTTGCTTCGGTTTCTTTTTGGAGGGAATTTCGTATTCGTTTCTTGTTTGAATTGCGTGAACATACGATTCGAGGATAATTTTGAGCTTTTTAGGTCACCCATCTCGGGTTTGCTGCTCGACAGAGCTAGTCTGTCGATGGAGTTGGGTTTAGGGTTACTTTGTACCGTTCCCCCATTGTCATGTCGAAAGATTGCTTGCACTGTACCTTACCTCGCGCCTTATGTTGTATCCCACAGATGAATGCTTTCGCGACAATTAGGTCATGTTGACGACCTAGGATCTGTTTGCTTCTTAGTGCTAATTTAGGGTTGACCTTTAGTTGTCATGTATGGCTTTGTGCAGGTTCGCATCCACATTTTCTCGCTCAGACAAAATTCAATTTTTATGCATCTTCCTTCACAATAAGTTTTCTTTGATAAGCAGCTAGAATTTAGGACCCCCAAAATTTTTAGGGTTTACTTTATTTTCTCCGTACCTTGAAATTTCTCCACTCTGGAATTGGATTCCACTATTTCCAGTAGCTTTTTCTGCGGATAGAATGTTTCCATAGCTTCGTCAACACTGCATTCAATGGAGAGACTGTGCTTTAAATCGAGGAAAGAGTTAGATATGTATGCAGAACCCTACCAAAATAAAGCAACCTAGACTTCTCGCAGAAAACCAAACTAAGCATAGATACTTTATGAAGATTTCCATTCGTGTTGTTTTCTGTGAGAAGTCTTGGTTGGTTTATTTTGATAGGGTTCTAATACACATCCAATTCTTTTGCTCGGTGTTATAGTTGCCAAGTGAGAAGTTGAAAAAAATCCGCATTCAATTAGTCTGATCACTGGTTTGATAATGGAATGTTACTCAATTTAGAAACAATTGGCTTTCTGGGAATTTTTTCTTAATATTTCTGCTTTAATAGTTGTTGTCCTCGGATGCTGACTGTAATTTGATGGTGTTAGTTCAAATTTGAGCAAGCGAAACTTCTGATCTTTGTACTGTAGGTGTTATTCATGTGGGGCTCAAAGTCCCTCCATATAAGTTTTTTAAGGTCTTGGCTTAAGGACTGATTTTCAATGTTTTTGTTGCTACCTACAGCAAGCAGCTGCTTGTCTTTCTGAGTTGGACCAGTCGCCACCAGTTTCAGTGCTGAATTCCATGCAGCCTTTTCTCGATGCAGTTATCAAACCTGAAATTCTTAAGCATCAAGACAAGGATGTTAAGCTTTTAGTTGCGAGTTGCATATCTGAGATAACACGGATCACAGCTCCTGAGGCCCCTTACAGCGATAATATTATGAAGGTTCATTAGTTCTGAAATTACTCTTGTGCAGTAACCAACATGGCTAGCATTGTTATTATCTGTACGCTTTTCTTTTTGCAGGATATCTTTCAATTGATTGTGAGCACCTTCTGTGGGTTGAGTGATAATGCGAGTCCATCATTTGGAAGAAGGGTTATCATTTTAGAAACGGTTGCGAAGTACCGGTCATGTGTTGTAATGTTGGATCTTGAATGCGATGATCTGGTTACTGAGTTGTTTACTACATTTTTCGCTGTTACCAGGTATGATCTGGTTACTGAGTTCCCCTTTTCACTTTGTGATTTCTTTTGATTCCAAGTTACCACAGGGTCTATCTTTACCTCCCTGTGTGATTTCTTTTGATTCTTATATTGCCATTTTTGCTGATCGTCGGAGTTTCGAGCTGGTGATGCAAGTTATGAATGCTTCTTATGGTTTCTCCTTTGCTGCTCTTCGGACTGACAGGTTGGTTTTTGTTCCCTTGCAGAGATGACCATCCAGAAAACGTTCTATCATCAATGCAAAATATAATGGCTGTTCTTTTAGAAGAAAGCGAGGATGTTCAGGAGTATCTCTTATTAATTCTCTCTAAACTGGGCCGTAATAAAAGTGTGAGCATTTCCTGCTTCAGTGGCTTGCCACTAGTATTAAACTCAAGCCACTCAACTATGTTCTATCTTAGCATAGACAGTGTAGCAGCTGATTTTCTGGATTTATGATGGCAGGACGTTACAGCTGCTGCTAGAAAACTTGCTATGAAAGTCATAGAGCAGTGTGCACCAAAACTTGGATCTGATATAAAACAGTTCCTTATCACTTCAATGTCTGGAGATAGCAGTCTGTCGAACCGTCAAATTGACTACCATGAAGTGATCTATGATTTATACTGTTGCGCTCCGCAGACACTAACAGGAGTTGCACCGTATCTCACTGGGGATCTATTGGTATCTATCTATTCTATTTCTTTTGCCTCTATTGGATTTTTCAAATATTGTTTTAGCTATTATTGGCTCAGGCCATGCACCAGTTCATTCCCACTTAATTAGATATTGTATAAGCAATTTTCTTTTCATAATTCTGTATTTTGATTGACCAAAGAACTTCCATTCTTTCATCTTTTGAATTCATCTTCTTTATGTGGTCTGAGCACATATTTTGGATTGGTATTTTTACTGTCATATGTGATTCTTTCATTCATGGGAAAAAACATTTTCAGGCCGATCAGTTGGAAACCCGTTTAAAAGCGGTGGGATTGGTTGGGGATTTGTTTTCTTTACCTGGACCTGCAATCTCTGAAGAATTTGGTTCGCTCTTTTCTGAGTTTCTGAAAAGGTTGACCGATAGAGCAGTTGAAGTTAGAATATCTATCCTTGAACATATTAGGAGCTGTTTGCTCTCAGATCCTTCAAAAGAAGAGGCTTCTCAAATAATATGCAAGTCTATCTCTCTACTATGTCATAGTTATACTTTTTTTTCATTTTCAGATTTGTTCATTGCATTTGAAACTGCTGATCTGATGGTGTGAATCTTTGTTTAGCTGCTCTCTGTGATCGGCTCCTGGATTATGATGAAAATATACGCAAGCAAGTTGTTGATGTTGTTTGTGATGTGGCTTCAAATGCACTGGCTTTGGTTCCGGTTGGCACTATAAAGCTAGTTGCCGAGCGTCTTCGAGACAAAGCTGTTTGTGTTCTATTCTGACCTTTTTTTCTCTATTAATGTCGTTCTTAAAATTTCCAGCAATTTGAGCTCATGGTTCATTTCTTAATTTCAGGTACTGGTTAAAAAATACACTTTGGAGAGGCTGGCTGATTTGTTCAATGTATACTGTCAAAGCTGTGCTGATGGCAAAGTTTGTGTTGGCAAGTTTGATTGGATTCCTGGAAAGATCCTGAGGTGTTTATATGACAAGGATTTCAGGTAACATATATGTATAACTATTTTCACATTACACCTTTTTCCTTTTTTGCAGTATTCAGTCAACTCTGGTTGGATTTGATCTTAATCTTTACAAAATGCACGTTAAATGTTTTGCAGATCAGACACCATTGAACATATTTTATGTAATTCATTGTTCCCAAGTGCCTTCTCAGTAAGGGATAAAGTTAAGCATTGGCTACAAGTGTTTTCAGGATTTGACACGGTGGAGGTAAAAGCACTTGAGAAGATACTGGAGCAGAAACAAAGGTCTGTTTTGATGACTTCTTTTTGTACTTACCAATTCTTCTATCTATATGATGCCAGGTCATCCTAACCTTTTCTGTTTGATATAGCTTTATATAACTATTTATTCTGTTGGGTCTTTCTACTTCTTGATCTTCAGGATACAACAAGAAATGCAAAGATATTTGTCATTCAGGCAGATGCAACAGGTGAGACCTTATTGAAGAACTTTTTTTTTTTAACTACATCTCGTGGTAACTTTAAGACTGTCATTGAGATACTTGTATTCTGCCCAGATGCAGGATGTGGATGCTCCTGAGATGCATAAAAAGATTCTATTTTGCTTCAGAGTGATGTCACGTGCATTTTCTGAACCCCCAAAGGCTGAGCAGAATTTTCAGACCCTTGATCAATTGAAAGATGCTAATATCTGGAAGATTTTGACTACTCTGCTTGATCCCAACACTAGCATTATGGAAATGACCAAGTTACGGGTGAGGACAACTAGGAGTTTGTGTGCTTGTGAATTTTAAAGTATATAACAATATTTTAAGATGTTTGTGGTTTTAATGTGTGCAGAATGATATGCTTAAAATACTTTCCGAGAAGCATTGTCTGTACGAGTTTCTTGGCACTCTCTCCATAAAGTGCTCTTATCTACTGTTCAACAAGGAACACGTGAAGGAGATATTGGCAGAAGTTTCTGCTAGAAAGTCTGCTCAAAATCTTTCAGGCATTCAGTCTTGCATGAACTTGTTAGGGGTAATAAATTATCTTAAATACATTCTTTTACAAGTATCTAGCTATTGTTATCAGGAAAATGGCTTTGGCGATTAGTTGTAGCTTGATTATGTGATATTCTTATGGTGCATTCACTTCAGTTCTTTGATCAGAGCCTAATCCACCTGAACTATCTTCGTGAGTTTGTCTCAGATTCTTGCATGTTTCTGTCCCTCGCTGTTTGTTGGGGCTGAGGCAGAATTGATTCTTTCCCTGAAAGATGATGATGAAGCAACAAAAGAAGGTGCTTTAAAAATTTTGGCTAAGGCGGGTGGCACGATTCGTGAAAATCTCACTGATTCATCTAGGTGAGACTCCTAACTCCTGATATATATGGATGTAGATATCAAGACATTTGGAAAGCGTATGATATATCAAATGGAGTTTACTTCATTTGTAGGATGTAATTACCCATTTGTCTTTAATTTTCATGTTATTTCTGTTCTTCACTTGAAGTTCGGTGGACTTGATACTGGAGAGGATCTGCGTAGAAGGTAGTCGTAAGCAAGCAAAGTATGCTGTGCATGCTCTGGCATCGATAACAAAAGATGACGGGCTCAAGTCCCTCTCTGTTCTATACAAGGTGACCATTCTGCTTTCTCATGAATTTCTGATCATTAATGACACTATCTTTCTAGTTGGTAGTTAGCATGTGCAAAATCTGATTTTTAGTGCTTGATGTGTAGAGACTTGTGGACATGCTGGAGGACAAGACACATCTTCCAGCTGTACTTCAGTGTCTTGGATGCATAGCGCAGATTGCGGTGCCGGTTTTTGAGACCAGAGAGACTGAAGTAGTGGAATTTATTAAAAGCAAAATTCTTAAGTGCGGAAGTGTATGTGTTTGAGATGTGTTGTTGTTCTGCAAAACCTCGTTAAGCTCTATAACTTGTTTCACATTTAGCTTTCTTTTCATTCTTTTTACTAGAAAATTCTTCACCCTTTTCAGGAAGCTGTAGATGACAAAAGTTCATCCTGGGATAACAAAAGTGAAATTTGTCGCCTGAAGGTTGGTCTGATGAAAAGCTCTGGTTCAACTTATCTCAATTTAAAATTTTGGTCTCTTCTTAAATGCTAACTGATTTCTGAACTTTTTGGTTAAATTGGACACTCTTACTTCTCAGATATACGGGATTAAGACGCTGGTTAAAAGCTACTTGCCTTTCAATGATGCTCATCTCCGTGTGGGTGTTGATGACCTTCTTGGATTACTTAAAAACATACTTTCTTTTGGGGAAGTATCTGAAAATATAGAATCAAGGTTGGTAGAGTGTATTCATTAACATACCCATTTGTTTTTTTAAAATTTTTTTAGTCTTTATTTGATGGAACACAAGTTCCTTTTCTCTTTAAATTCTCCATAGCCCTGTCGACAAGGCCCATTTGAGGCTTGCTGCTGCGAAGGCGGTCCTCCGTCTTTCTAGGCACTGGGATGACAAGATACCTATTGATGTCTTCCATTTAACACTTAAAACGCCTGAGGTGCAGTTGCATATCCTTCAATTAAGAATTTTAATTATACAATTAAACTCAATCTTATCTTTCGGTTCGAGGGATTAGGTGCTTTAACTTTTTCCTCTTTTAACCTTTTTCCTGCAGATATCATTTCCAATGGCCAAGAAAATATTCCTGGGAAAAGTTCACCAGTATGTGAAGGATCGGGTGTTGGATGTCAAGTATGCTTGTTCATTCTTATTTGACTTCTCTGGATCGAAAGTTCTTGAATCAGAGGAGGTATTTCGATGTGCTCGACTTGCACATATTTGGCAATATTTGACCGTTTGATTTTGACTGTTAACCATTTTGCAAAACGATGCATATGGATTGGCTTGGCAGGAAAAACAGAACTTTGCTGACATCATTCAAATGTCTTATCAAACAAAAGCACGGAAAATATCTGCCCAGCCTGATGCCACTTCAGCAACTCTTTACCCCGAGTACATCATTCCTTATCTGGTTCACATGCTTGCCCATCACTCTTGTCCTGACGTAGACAAATGTCGGGATGTCAAGGAATACGAAATTATGTACCGGTAAATTTTTCTTGATTTACTGGTATTATTCAGTTTGCTTTTGTGTTAGGCCAGAAAGTAAAGAGTTGCCAGCATTACGGTAACAGACACGTTAAAGCAATGTATCATGCTACCATTTTTCCTGTCTGGGGAAATGTTATACAATGCTCACTGACTGTTATTTCCCTTAGGTGCTCAAAGTAGATAGTAGTTGGTCGTTTAGAGCTTTCTGACTTTATCCTTGTTTGTTTCAGCCAATTATATTTGGTCATTTCTATGTTGCTCCGCAAAGAGGAAGACGGAAACTCTGAAGACGATTCCAAGGAACAGGAGAGCGTTACCACCATAATTAGCATTTTCCAGAGTATAAAGCAGTCAGAAGATGTCATGGATGCAACAAAGTCAAAGGTCCGGAACAGTTTTTCCTCCTAATATCCTTTAACAACAACCATTTCATGACCATTTGATAATCATCCTTAGATTACTGGTGTATTTGATATGATGCATATTGCAGAATTCATGGGCAATCTGTGAACTAGGACTGTCGATTGTCAAATGCTTAGCTGAGAAGGAACTCGATTTGCAAGGGATGACGACATCTGTTTCGCTGCCTCCAACACTCTTCAAACCTTACGAAGAAAAGGAAGGTGATGACTCTCAGGTAAGCATCTTGATTTTTCTCATGGTTTCTTAATGAAACTTACATTTTGCATGGTGGCCCAGCTTCAAATAGCCGTTTGGGCATCTGAATTATACATGGTCTTTTGCTTTTAATATTCTTGTCATGACCGGTTTTTGCTAATGTATGACATCTTGTTCCAACAGGTGGGTGAAGAGCATATATGGTTAGCTGATGAGACAGTACTTGCACATTTTAAGTCTCTGAAGTTGGAGAGTGATGCATCTGTAAGCTATTCAACTCAACACCCTCTATTTTTGTGGCTGTATTTAGTGGTTACTGCTTTATTAACTATTATCATTCCTCTCAGGTGACAACTGAAGCTACTGAGGCTGAGGATATAAAAGATGGGGAAAGTGATGGGAACGAAGTGCCTCTGGGAAAGATCATAGAGCGTTTGAAATCCCGGGGAAAGGGTAAAAAGAATAAATCTCTACCTGTTCGGACTGAGAATGGTGAAAATGATGTCGACATATTGAAAATGGTGAGGGAAATAAACCTAGATCAGTTAGGAGTGTTGAATAAATTTGAATCCAGTAATGGTAAGAAGCACTCTCCTGGCATGAGAGGAGACACAGGTCAAGAAGATAAACACACTAACAAGAGAAAGGCTGGTGATGCGACATCGCTAATTTCGGTGCCTAAGCGCCAGAGGTCCTCTTCAGGTCATAGTCCTTTCAAGTTTTCAAGCACCAGTCCTAGATTCCCATCGAAATCTTCAAAAGACGAGTTGCAACAAGGAAGAGATATTTCTTGGGACACAAATGACGAGATTTCTGGGCAGCAAAAAGTAATAGAAAGCACCAGTTCTCCTAAGAAAAAGAAAAGGTTCTCATCGAATCTTAAGAGTGCAGGATCTGATTTGGGTTTTAGTGATGAAGAAAATGAAAATGAAGGTGCCGATCACACAGAGAGGGTAAGCATCTTCAACAGCAACATTTCTTGTTGATCTTACTTATTTTTTTGTGGCCCAATAATTACACACACTCTTTTATCTTGAGCAGAAGCAAAGTAAGTTGGCAGGAAGTGGCGATGGTGTATTGAAGTCTGCCTCTGGATCGATGAAGAAGCGGAAAAGAAAAAGCATCTCTGGACTGGCAAAGGTACGAAATTCTACTTCTTACTAATTTATGAATGTCTCTATTTCCTTTTTTTTCTGTTGTACTAACAAATTTCTGACCTGATTTCTTTTTGTAGTGCACTTCGGCAGAAAGTAAAATGGCAGCTGATGAGTTAATCGGTTGCAGAATAAAAGTGTGGTGGCCTTTGGATAAAAGGTGAGCATTGTGTAAGTGATGTTATTTAAGTTGAAAGTGATCTTGTTGGAAAAGGAACGTTGTTCAATATCCATTTCTGAGCACCACTGTGCTAGTTTTTCTTGGAGCATTTCATCTTATGGAGTGCCAGTGGAGCCAAATTCAGTTTTTTTCCCTCTCTGCATAGTTGGCATAATTTTGAGTTTTTATTTTGCTACTCTATCACCTGAAATGTGAAAATACTGAGCATCTGATGCTCTGATTGGTTTGGCTCTTCGGAAATTGCTTCTCTTGTTGAAATTAACAGGTTTTATGAAGGCACTGTGAAATCATATGATCCAACTAAACATAAGCATGTGGTAAGCTTTCATCGTTTGTTTCCTCATATCTCGTCCTTGGACCATCCGGATCCCTACTTGATCTATATGATGTTGCAGATACTGTATGATGATGGAGATGTTGAAGTACTTCGCCTGGAGAAAGAACATTGGGAGCTTGTTTACACTGGTCGAAAGGCCGCAAAGGTTCCTGAATTATATGTATTATGACTATTCTCAAATTATTTTCACTGTTCCTTTTGGCCATGCTGTGCTCTGATTCCTTTCGATGTTCCAATAAGATTGAATACTTGTCCTTACTATTTTTTTTATTCTCTGCAGAAGTCAAGCAAATTGAAGGTCTCCCCTCATAAGAAAAGGTATGATCTTTTCTATACTCTAAAACAGTACTATGGTTATACAGGCTTGTTGATACACATTATTTCTCTGTTATGACACTGCATCCTTGGCTTTTTGTGTTTCATCTTTTTCGTTGCTTATAGATCTGCCGAAAGCAAACGTATGTATTCTGATGGTTCACAGGAGACTCTGGGTCAAGTTATGACCACGTAAGTGAAATCCTGCACTAAAAGTCCAAATAAAAGCTGTTATTCTGTCGTGTTTGTATTCATTTCATTGTTTCCTCACTGTTGCCCTTAGACCAAAAGGAAAGAGGACTCCGAAGAAAATCTTGAGGCATAAACTGAAAGGCATGCCAAGAAGTCTCTCTGAAGAATCTGTGAAAAAAGAGAGTGGAGAAAAGAAAAATCATGCATATACTGCATCAGGTAGGCTCCGTTGCATAAATATACATCCGTCCAACTTCGCCCTTAACTTTGCTACAAATCTTGAATTCTTTCAACTCTGTATAGTAATGCTGACGGAAAATCTTTACCACACAATGCAATCATTTTATTCTGAGTTGTTCTATATATATTTTAGATGATTCGCACGGGGAAGTTGCTGAAGCAATGGATGAAGAGAAATCAACCACAGAGTGGAAGAAATATAGTGGGGAGACTGATGAAGAGAAATCAAGTTCTGAAGGAAAATCCAGGAAAGAAGAAAAGGAGGACGCTGAAGAATGTCAAAACAAGAAAGATGATTTACAGGGTGAGAAATCCGAATCAAGTGAAAGCTCCAGAGGGGACGAAACTGAAGTTGACAATTCTGAGCCGGAAGAGAAGGATGAAATCGAGACAGAGCCCAAAAACCATGATGGGGACACAGAGATTTCCGACAACGAGACACTGGTATCAGCCTCTCAAGCTCTACAATTGAACTTTAACAGAGATCTTTTCATAAACCAAATAAGAGAGATAGAGAGAGAGAGAGAGAGAGAGAGAGAGAGAGAGAGAGAGAGAGAGAGAGAGAGAGAGAGAG